ATAAATGGGAATGCCTGTGGCATGCATGGTCTGTAGGAAATTTCACTGCAAACCTACAGGCAGCCTATCAACAAATGAATAAATAGAGAAGCTGTGGTATATTCATACAATGGAATGCAGAACTGAAAAATAAGGAACTCATAAAATATACAAAATGGGTAACCCTGGAGAACATGATGCTGAGTGAAATAATTCAGTCACAAAAGGACAAATATTGAATAATGCCACTGTTATAAAACAGGGCTGACATGGGGGTTGGAGGGAAATTAAGAAAAGGGGATAAATAATGAATAGTACATTTAAATAGATGAAGGGAAAGAACTGACTAAAAGAAATATATGATTAGGTATTATTTGCAGGACAAGAGTCCAAAATAAGAGGTTCATAGGAAAGAGGGGGATGGGGGTGGGGAGGCAGGAAATTGTACAACAATGAAAGAATCTTTTTAAAGAGAAAAGTGAACTGGGAGGGTAGGGAGGAAAATGTGCAATGATGAATGAATGGAAATCCAAGATTTCTGTAAACATTTGTTAAAATATCAATAAAAAAAGAGGGAAAAAATGTAAAAATTTAAAAAAGTATAAAAAAACCCAAAACAAAGCAAAATTTAAAAAAACCAAAAACCCTAAAGGCAATGCATCTCTGTCAGTTTAAATGCACCGGAGGCTCCACAGGAGAAAGGTGAGTCTTCTTCCACGTGATTTATGTGCTCTGCAACTCTGCTGGAGGGTCAGCTGTGAGTTGGTTACAACTCGACGCAATGTATTTGAGTCTGAGTTATCTATACAAACAAAAAGGCTTATTGTTCAGCCAAAAAAAGAGAATGAAGTCCTGATGCTACAACGTGAGTGAACCTTGAAAACATTGTGCTGAGTAGATTCAACTGCAAAATGGCAAATATTGTATGATCTCACTTGTATGAGATAAACAAATATACAGAAATGAATATAATTAGAGGTCACCAGGACCTTGGAGTGAGGGCCTGCATAGAGACACTGAATTGATGTTACTGGTGGTGGTGAAATACGTTGGAAAGGATAGAGAGAATGGTTGTACAACTTGAAGGATATAACCAGTGTCCCTGAATTACATGCAGAAATTGGTGTTTTGGGGTGTCCTTCTACCACAGTTTGAAAAACGTGCATGTTTAGAGGCACGAGCACTAACCTGACATGAGGACGCTGGGCTGCCCTTAGGCCTTGGTGGTGACTTAGGCAAGTCCCTCTAGCACCCTGGGTCTCAGCTTCTTCAGGCGTTCACCTCCAGACAGGTGTTCAAATACAACAGTGGTTTGTTTTCTCTTTAGAGGTGGTGCTCCTCTTAATAAAACCCTACACAGTAGGTCATTGAATAGAAAGCTGGACCCAGAAAGACTGCTCTGGTTAAAGTGGGAGTGGGTCCAAAAGGGTCCCTTTTCCTAGAATCTAAGACCTTTTGGGAACATGGTTTGAGAGCTCCAATCCTAGACAATCTTTTTCAATTGTTGTTGATGGCCATCGAGTTGAGCTCACAGTGACCTTTGAACAAAAGTCCTGAAGCCTCTCTATAACTATCGACGTTTATCTAAGTTCAGGAAGTGGATACCCTCAGCCAACTAGATTTTTCTCTCTGGGTATCCCGTCGGGAACCGATGAACCTGGAGGCTGACTTGGAGTGTGTGTGTGTGTTGGGGGGAGATGAGTGGGTTCTGGAGACAGAGGCCGAAACCAGTCCTCTCCAGAAGCTGTGGACAGTGGTAGGCAGTACCAGCCCTTGATGTTACTGTGACTGAACATCACCTGGTTCACATTGGGGCCTCAGTGGTGCCCTGAGAACCCTCTAGCACCTCAATGTTGTACATAGGTTTGTAGGTCTCTGTGGCGTCCCTGGGGAAGGGCACAGCACCAGATCTGGTGGGAAGCAAAGGGGTGCTCACCTTGCCATGTAATGTCCAAGGCACGCACTCACACCCTCAGTTCTTAGGGAGCTCTCAGCCCCCCAGTGACCAGAGTCACTGTCTTCACATTCCGATTCCTCTCCATCTTCCTCCTCCTCTACCTCCTCCTCTTCTGCGCTGCTGTCCCAGCAGAAAGTCAGTTTCCAGGGAGAAACTGGAGGCTCCTCAGGGACCAGACTTGGCCCTCCTGATGAGGAGCCCCAGGTGGCCCAGGGAGAGAGGTCTTCTCTAGGTATCTCCTTCAGGGAAGCCAAGTTGTCAGGTAACTCGGGTGTTGGGACAGGCTCCCAGCGCCCATCCTCCTTAAGTCCCTCATTGGGCCCCGTCTTGGTCACATAATCAGAGATGGCAGCCTCGTCACAGGAGGGGGAATCTACATTGCTGGCCCAGCTTCTGCCTGAGGAATCCCAAGTAGAACTGCCTTTCACCTGGACCAGTGCCTGGGGTCCTCTTGAATGCACCCCATCTGTCTCAGAGCACTGGGGATGCTGGAGTCCTTGGCCCAGGAAGGAGGGTGGCTCAATGTAGGGCTGGACGCTGACGTTGTCATCTGTGTCATCTTCCTCCGGCTCCTCCTCCCCGCTCTCAGCATTGTCCTCAGGCCCCACCTGCAGGGTCCTGACTCTGGGGGCCAGCCAGGTACTTGGGGTCAGCTCCGTCTGAGGACAGAGGATCAAGGCGTTGGGGACTTCTGGGATGCTGGGCTGACAGGTCGGCACGGGGTGTGTGTATCCAGAAAAGTCCTGGTTTGGGGAAGGGAGAGAAGAACAGAAAACTTAGGCTCTCCTAAAACTATGTAAATGTCTTTTCAGGCCTGGAAACACTCTGAGATAAGGATTCACATGCGAGTGATGTCTTTGGGAGGTGATCCCAGGAGATATGAAAGCAGTGAAGGGGAGTGAGTCATCAAACAAGGCCTCACTATGGGGAGCACCGCCTGCTGGGGGCCGGGTTGGGGAGCATTCCTCCACTAGTCTTTGCTGGTTGAGGGATGAGAGGAGTGGTGGTGGCGCTAACTCCCAGCCATGAATGTGGGCAGAGTGGACTTTAGTGCCCAGGCAGTGCTCTAAGAGGCAGGTGCTGGCTGGCTGACATTGGCATGCTGTGGGTGAAGAGGCTCATGGGAGGAGGATAGGCCTGACAGAGGCAGATCCCAGAACTTAGAACCCTGAAGATAATCTACCAGTAGCACAATAGCATCCTAAATTCCACCCTTAGAGTCTCTGTTCCCACTCGACTGGCCATTGAACCTGACCTAGGGCCAATTTTCACTCACTAGGCCCTCAACTTAATAATTCTGATGACTGGAGCCTTAGCCTAGTGGTAAGAAGCTACTCTGCAATCCCAAAGGCAAGCACTTTGAATCCACCCACTGCTCTGCAGGAGAAGGATGGGCAATTCAAACCTCGAGTTGCTATAATCAAGGATGCTTTCGGCAGAATGTTAAATGATCCAGGAAGTATTAAAAGATGGAAAGAATATACTGAGTCACTGTA